CCCCCCCCCCGCCTCCCCCAGCTCTCCTGTTTATCTGCCTGATGATCTACAAAGCAGTAAACGTCTAGTCAAATATCGGATTTGTCCATGGTTATGCCATATACATATCACACTCTCTCAGTGTGATGATAATAATTAACTCATAATCCTGCTACTAGCACTCTCATCTCAAGGGCAGAATTTGTTAGCATCTGAAACTAGGTCCATGGAAATGTTAACCAAAAATTGACCTCCCCCCCCCAAATCGTTAAGGCCTAATTGAAAACAGAAGCAATCCATAATTAGAACTTCAGTTAGGAATCTAGAGAAGTGTAATGCTTTGTTTGCAAGGTGATTACATTTCACCAATACCATACAAATCCATGACCTCTGCTCGGTTAAATATCAGGCATTTCCAATCCAGGTTAAGTATAGTTAATTAATACCCCAAAAACAATTACCCACCTTCTAGGCCTTTTTAAATAACAAAGGTTAAAGGCGCCAGTAGACCAGCTAAATATGATTCACGACAAATTATAGAATTAATTGAATTGATAAGAATGACGTTGGTACCTTGATGCGTTTATATTAACAGAACCAACGGAAGTTGATGTGAAGGTGGGCTTGAGTCGAGCTCTCGAAAATGGGGAGGTCGGAGATGAGGTCAGATTACCCGATTTGGGAGTTGGGGTGGCCTCCGTGCTCACGGGAGTAAAGGGGGTGTGCATAAACTCATCGTTCACACACCCAAATGTCATTGACTGTAGAGGCGGGAGACTAGGCCGGGTAAATTTGTTAACCGCAGATGCTGAAACGCGTTTTAACCCTGCGCCGTTGTTCTGCATGTTGAACTTATTTCCAACGCCTAAGGTGATATTTTTCAGAGATGTGGGCGCATTATTTGCATTCTAGGAGGAAAAATAGAAACAAATTTCTACTTATATCTAAATAAGTAAGCTAAAAAATAATGTCAATGTATTAGGAGTACGCAGCAAGGTAGGCTGCATTTAAGGGGCACTTTAGGCTTCGTTACTATTGGAAACCTCAAAGGAAGAAATATTTATTTAAACGTTCAATTCACTATGCCATCATTTTTTTCAAATATTTACAATTAGTTAGAGCCTAGCAGATTTGAAAAGGTGCATTTAGCCATGAGCAGATGAGACAAAATCACTTTAGTGAACCATGAAAATGATTGTGTAGTAGGAATGACTGATAATACCTAATTTAAAATTTTTTCGCTAAATATAGACAATGAGGAAGGAGCTTTCCGATTCAATAGACTTAAAATGATTTTCATTTCGGCCAATTTTGAACGAAAGGCCATCAATTTTCTGGTGAAAATAGCACAATTCGTGCTTCCTTATTCTAAACTTTTCCAAAATCTCCAACAGCCTATTTGAATCAGTAACATTCGATGCCAGTTATAGAAATTTACACTGAATTAGAGGTGATCACTGTATTAATAAATCAATAAATACTCGAATTTCGGTATTCTTTGAAAGAGGTCTAAATAATCGATAACCCCTCCCCCCCCCCCCCCCCCACAATAATTTAATATAGATTAATAGGTATTTCTCAAGGTGATAAAATTTAACCATTGTTCGAAACTAGCGTGGTGTAGATTTTGCCATACATGGGATATTTGTAGCCCATTCCAAAGTCTTACCACTCAGCTTAGTCTCTGGAATCACCCGTAGATCAAAATATCGATTAAATTGTGGTATACGAACTTGAAAAGTTTAAACAACAATTTTCTTAGGTTTCACTAAACAATCCCAGGGATAAAAGTGATACCACCTGTTAATTTGACAAGTGTTTCACATACCAACGTGTCATACATAAAGTCAACCCATTAACATATAGTTAGCCATGTGCAGAGAGAAAATTCCATTTTAGAATAATATTTTAACATTGACTATGGATTAAAATTTTAATGAATTTGAAAACAACGAAGCAATCGGCATTAAAAAAATTTCCATAGTGCAATTAATGAGCACTAAGTGAATAAAAAGAAAAAAAAGAGATTTTAGGGGGCGTAATTCTGCCTAGCTCTCCCTCCTTCTCCCACTCTCTGAAAATGGCGCCACTCACCTGATTGGCTAAAAGACTTGTAACATTTGGCCAATCGTTGAAGGAAATTAGATCATTACTGGAGTGCATCACATCTTCACTGTTCTTCCGAGGTGCTGGCGAACAACCACTTCCAGTATTTCCATCTGAAGTTGTCGAATTTAACGGGAAAGAGGCCAAAGAAGGAAGTGAATGAGTGGAAAATCGCAGATTATTTATTGTAGTGGCGGTCTTCTTAAAAGAGTTCTAAAATGAAAAGGAAAACCAAAATTTTAGCACCACCAACTTACTTTTAAATGTTCAGTAGCACCAAAAATTGGAAATCTAAGTTACCGAAGATCCATCTTCGAGTGATTCACTGGAAATTGAGCTTGAGTCTAAAATAACAAAAAAAGCGAACAGGTAACATCAAGCCGAAAATTTCTCACACGGCAAAGCTGATTTTCCCTCAAATATAAATAAACCGATAAGGAAATTCTTCCTACAACGTTGAGCAGAATTGTTTCCATCTTCGGCTCTTTTCATGCCTTAAATTTATATTGCAATTTTTATCATTTTTAATAAGCAATGATTGCGCGAAATAATTGGTTTAACCCGGGAATCGAACGACCACAATTACAATTACATTGACCAATACGATAATGAAATCAGGTTTATATTTCAATACTCTGAGTGGTAAATAATCCAAATACGTTATTTTACTTGTTTTAGAGGCAATACCTTAGTGCCAGGAGGAGAGATATCATTCGAAATTTATTTCATTAAAAGTCCAATTTAGACGAAAAAACGTATTTTCATTTTTTGCTGAATTTCGGGGGAAAATGGCATTAACAAATGTGGCTATCAGGATATAAGGCAATCTCAGAATCTCGAATTGTAATTGATTTTCATGACTTAAAGCCACACCTTTGCCCGCTCTGGCACCTTCCAATTCCACTGATATCAATTGGGAAAATTGTTTAATTTTTAATTCAAAATTTTACTTTCAGGCTCTAAGAAGCTTCAAACAGTCATCATACATAAAAAATACCCCAATATCACTAAATAATGAAGGTCCATCACGTATTAGATATAGTAAAATAACTAATAAATAAATGACAAAATATGGAAAGTGAGTTGATTAAGTCAAGAGGTGAGAGAGCCACACAAATGCTGTCTAACCTCAGAGTAGCCAAAAAAACAACCTTCAACAATGAAATTGACCTTGACTGCATAATTATAAACAAAAGAACGACGAGATATCTTCTCAGCAGAAAAGTATTTTGTGCTTTGAATGCTTTTTATAGTAATGGTCTTTCTTCCCCCTGTATTCTTAGCCCCATTTATTTTATATAGTTCCCCCTGAACCAAATTATTCGATCATTATTTACCTCTACAAAGACGATATTCCAAAGCGATTAGTTGACTAATTATGTGAGGGTTCTTTAAGGTAATCCATTTGATTAGAAGGCAAAGAGGAGGAGTGTTTTCCACGTAAGAGGACAAACGTCTTCCACTGTAATTAAGATGCCTCCCTCAAATTCACAGCCTTCAGCAACCAGACGAATTTATCCAAGGGATATAAATAAAAGATGGAGGTGGGGGGGGGGGGGGGGGGGGGGGGGGGGGNGGGGTGGAAACGATTGTTACTATGTCATTACTTTATTTGGTCTTAGTGGAAAGTGCTGAAATTCGTACTTACATTATCAAAACGATAAACTTCAGTTTTTCACCTAACGCACTCTATTATTGGTACTTAAGAAAAGAAGACTGCCCACATTTTTCTTTGTTAAAAAGAGCGTTTCATTGGGTAAATAGAGACAGATGGCGACAAATCTATCAAATCGAAAAGTGTATGACAGATGTTAAGTGCTTAATTGTCACAGTGAAGTGGATGTCAATTACGACAGTTTACTTGAATACACCCATTATATGATGAGATAGTGAAGCCGTAGGCGATTTACAATTTGCTCACCGAGATGTGCAAATTTGCGGTTCAACAAGTCCTCATTGAAGGAAAGCATCAGTATCAATATAATTAGAGTGAAGGAAATTGGACCAGGAATGATTTTGCCTACTCCTTGTGCTTCAAAGTTACAAATAAACAGGGACATTGCTGTGATCCTACTGATTTATGCCTTTAACTTAACAGTCAGTGAAAAAAAAGTTATTCCAAAATCGGCGAGCCACTTTATCGTAACTCATATCACCCTTTTCTCAGAATTGGGAACGACCTAGCTCAGTGCTGATATTCACGACTTTCCTACTAATTATAAAATATAGGATAAATATGAAAATCAAACGACTTTATAGGGCTTCTAAAGTCAAAATGTTTCATAGGGGCCTAGTAAAAAGACTCCATCTAGCTTCGGCTTCGAAGCCTGAAGTAAATCGACTTTCCTTTTTCCTTGTAAAGCGCACCAGAAATTGAATATACTCCATTCAATAAATGCCTGAATTCTGAAGTACTGGCAAAGGGGATTAGTGCCTTTCTCGACATAGTACTCTATCGGGCAATAATCTGGGTGGGGGTAAGGAGCTTTGAGGCGAAAAACGTATTCTGCAAGTGGTGTAGTCGCAAAAAAACTGCTCTCAACCATTTTCAACTTCTCACTGAGTTATGGCATGGGATGGGAAATTTCAAATGCAGTAAAAATAGTCGATGGATTGGCAGCAGTAGTGAGTAGATCTACGTGGCACTTGGATTCTCACTAATCCTCCCTATGCAAAAACACGGACGAAGATGCCACTCTACATCACATCCGTAAACCATGACCGATTTATGAAAAGGAGTCGGCATGCCACTAGGAGTTTCTTCTGGACCCTATACATGTCACCTCTTATTCTGCGTCTTGACTTTTTCATCTTAGCAAAAAGATAGTCCTAACAAAAAGAATCACATTGTTTGTGCTTCAGTGGGATGTTTAATTTTGCTCAAAAGTTCATTACATCCGTCAGACAATGATTTTCGCCGACCTTCTCTTTTCTAAATTGATCTCTCCACAATTTCTATCAAAGTATACCCCAACACTTTTTCTGAAGCAGATTTCCACAAAAATCTAGTGAAATAGCAAAGTCGCATGGTCTATTATTTTGGCCTCTTCTAGGGAGGGTGTCATGTAGTCACAACTTAGACTTTTAGAGGAAAAAGTATGCCCGAGCACCTTTAGCAATCCTTGAAAAACAACAATTAAATATCCCTCTGCAGAATGCATCGCAAACACATTGTGTGGCCTAAAACGACTATGTCTTAAGTAGATCTTAAATGATTGGCTGCCAGATTAGCCAATAATCGCATCGCGACTTCTCCCCAGGTGGTCTTGGATATATCAAGAATTGAGCTTGGAAATCTAATCGAACCGAAATTCCATGCTTGAGGGATGGAGATTGCGACTTTCTCTCGAGTTTAATGAGAATAGTCGATATGGCTTCCTAATGGTACCTCATGCATTTAGATAAAGAAGCCCAACTTTTGAATAACATTGGGGGGGGGGGGGGGGGGGTGAAGGTTAATGAAATTTTAATCGATAAAATTTCATAAACATAATCACTAGTATTCTAAATTTACTTGATAAGTAGAGCAGTTACATTACAAATTGAGTTTCATGTTACCACACCTAACCATATTACTGAACGATCGGAAATAAATATTGATTAACTTTGGACAATATTTTTCCGTATGAGCGATCAATGTTTCAGTGACTCCCTGAGATCTTAGGAGATAAGAGTAAGTGAAATGCCAGTAAAACCGTTTTCACATTTTGCCATCAAATGCTATATCAGAAATTCGCGCAAATTTAAAATGATTTTTTTCATGATTACATTTCCTGCTTAAATAAAGCATTTTTAACAGGATAAGAAAGTCTTTAGCCAAAGCGTGATATAGTAAATACAAAAAATGCATAACGATTTAAATTAGTAGTGGAATAGGAATAGAAGTTCATTTACCACAATGTGTCGTATTTGGGGTGCTGTAAATAAGGAGGGTGCATAACTCGGTGTGAATGGTGAAGCGTGTACACTGCGTTGCAACCGGATAGAAAGATCAACTCTAACTCGGTAAACGTAATACGGCAAGCCGTAAGACAAACAAATTCACATCGAACTCTATGAAAAGCAACCCTAATCGTAAAATCACTGAATTTCAACGGTCGTCAATGAAAGAATCACGAATCACTCAACAACCTCAAGTCGAATGATCGAAGTGGATCCACGTTAAATATCTCAGACAAATATATAAAAAGCTGGTAACTATTATACCAAAGACCATATTTTCAACAAATAAAGATGTCAATATGAGTTGTTTTCTATATTTATTATGATGATATTTTCAATTATGGGGTGTGCGATAGACTTAACTCCACGTGGTGCACCCTGGGCAACGTATACTCATACAGCAAAAAAGTCTGGCAGTTGACTTCTCACTTCAAACTACCATCACCTCACTCTATGCCATATTCGACTTTTCCCACAGTACTCACCTCCCCTTTTTCCTACCTTTGTGTCTGTCTCTTACATCTTTGAAACACTTTTCTGTTCCCACCCCCCCCCTCATCTCGATATTTTTCAAATTGATGTTCCTTCCCCTCTGTGAAGCCTGAAGTCAACTAAAGGGCTAATGATAACCATCATGACGCCTGCCATTTGATATAAATAAATATTTTCAATTATTTCACAAGTTTGCCAAAAAACAATTTTCTCAAACCGTTTAATGTTTTTTCTTTAGAAGAAAAAAAAACTAACTATTCACTCAATCGCCAAATTAGATAAGATCGGTCTGATGAAACCAGATAACAATCCATGAAGCTTAAATTTTGATTATATAAGTTAACAAATAGGCAATGGAGTTTAGTACCAGCGTCTTGGTGGAACCATTTCTTGACGCATGTTCCATAACTATGTTACATTGATCATATGCAGAAATGGCATTCACAGCGACTTCAACTGCAGTGTGCATTGGAGAATGTGAACTCACCTTGTTTTGTTTTAATGAAATCAGGGGCCGCGACAATCTTGCGGAGTTTGCAGAGTAGACCATCCTGTCGAAAGTGATAATGATCGATCATCTGAAAAACAAGCAAAAAAAGTAGTTCAATAACACTTCCGACAAAATTAGTTTTGAGAAATGTAAATGAACAAACAGCATGATGTGTGTAAGAAAATAGTTTATAACTGGAATTCATTTAATTACCCATTTAATGGGGCTTAATTTAAGGTGTAGACATTTTTTTAAAGTAACAGACTGAACTTTCTGGTGTCCCGCAAGTCTTCTTGAAGAAATAAATGAATAGAACTTAAATTAATAAATGCACTCGATTTAAACAAGAGATTAATAGGGACAATAATCACTCGTGTGCCCACTTTATCAGATTAAATAACTTTGAAAGCCCTAAACAGACTGGATGGGCCATCATTATGTAGGGTGGTGGTGGTGGGGGGGGGGGGGGGGGGGGGGANGGGGGGGGGGGGGGGGGGGGGGGGGGGGGGGGGGGGGGGGAAATTTTCAATTATTTGTAAATCTATTGAGTAATATATAATTGTGGAATTTATGAGCATGCCATAATTGAACCTTATTCACGCTTCGCTAATGCCCACAATAATGGACATAAATATAACGCTAAAAGCTTCAGAACTAGCCTAGAATTGTATTTTAAATAACTGAATTTCATTAGACAATAATTCTGAAAAGCATAAAACGAAACCTCATAACATTTCACCCGAACTATTATTAAATTTCCATGATACAGGAAGTCCGAAGGCCTTGAATTCTACTCCATCAGCTGTATGTTTTTATAAACTCACCCCCTAATTATACTTAGCCAACTCATCAACATTGATTTTGTTAACAAATTACCCCAAGGAGCACTTTGAGCAATTCTTCATTTACCATTCCTCACACAAAGCTAATCTGGTAAGCAAACATTTATTCATTGAAGTAATAGGCTAATAATATCTTTGATGCAATTGGTCGGGGAAAATTGAACCAATGATCTGACGTGGCAGAATACTATTGGTTAAACAAATGGCCATTCAATAAAGAGCGAATCATCTCTCTATACCGTGACCTCTGCCAGAGTAGTTTTTCGACTTCTAAACCCCTCCAACTGTGTAAATTTTGACGGCCCTCTATCCACCCGTCTAATCCCGTATTTGACACATGCTTTATCTTATTTTTATTAAATAGTTTTAAAATAGGTGTCCGCATTAGATATTTATTAACGCATCTACTAGGATATTATCAAAATACCCTTTCTAATTTTGTCAATCAACGCGCAACAGTTTTTTCGGCAATATAGCGTTTCTTAGCAGCGAAATGTGGGTAAATCCTTTTAACGTCTGTCTGAATACAACCCTATGTATCCCATGCGCTTAAAAGTGCTTCAACTATGAACGGAGGATAAGATATGAATAATAAATGACAAAATTATTACAAAAAAACAGAAAAAAACAGGAGCAGGATTAGGGAATTAATGGATGACTGCTGAATAGGGAGGAAAGAAACAGCAAAACAAAATGTTGGATTGTGTCCTGTAGCTGATGGAATAAAGTGTGGGATAATTTCGGTGAGGATTACAGTCATTCATAGTCAGTAATAAACTGTTCAGCTTTAAGTAGGATTAAAAATCGTTAAAAGTCTAAACATCGGATAAAAAAGGTGACACCACGCTAAATGGTTTGTATAAAAATTGAGCAACAAAAATGACTATGGAACAACGAGATTCGCCACATCGCTAAGTATATGAAAACTCGAAAGTGAAATTGAAGAAAACTGAGAAGCGTGAAACTGCATAACTCTGGAGTTTAAAAGAAATGCGTTTTTCCTTGTTCTACGAGTGTCTTTCCTCCTGAACCTCTTTTCACTCCACTTTTTATCCATGCAGCACGTTTCCTGCGCCGATGTGTTTTAATGCCCGCCATGAATGCCAGTGAATGTTGAGTATACTCTTCAATGATAGGATATTTTACTAAAATAATCTTTTCCGTTTTAGTTTCGAGGAACACGCACTAAAACCTAACACCATAAACCACTTATTTGCACACAAAAAACAACAACTTTAATAAACAAGTGTGTCTACAGTTAACTTCCGACACCGATTGAAAACTCGTAATAAACAACAGTAAATCCTAGTACCGGTATACTAATATTTTTTATAAGAGAAGAGATACCATAACCAATTCTCCATCCCCCCCCCCAAAAAAAAACAAATATATATTTCATAGTTGACATCTTTCGACTGCGAGCACAATAGGAACAAATGCTAGCATTTAATGTTGGAAGGAATTGAATTTGAAGAATTTGACTATACTCCTCGAGTGTAAAGGGTATATGACCTGTGCACACAAACCCCGTGAAGTGGGGATCTTAAACACTCGATTTTAGATGTAAAAGCTTACCTCACTAAGCCTTCATCTAATTCGATGTCTTTTATCCCGAATGTCATATTCCACACGATTAAAGTCTGCCAAATTACTTGCCTGAACCATGCTAATAATACCCAAGAGTGTATTCAAAAAAATACAGCTTAAAAGCAGACACAATCAACCGATTAGACAGTACAAAAAATCTTTGCAAATACTATTTTTTCCACAGTATGAAATGTTTCCGCCAAATTAATTGGCCATAATAAACTTCTACCGCTTAGGGATAAGTAGAGAAATATATAACTCAAGCAATTTAAAAATTAAATTACAACAATATTGCCCAACTCAGGGGTGCGCAATAGACTTACCTCCACGTGGTGCACCCTGGGCAACGTATACTTATACGACAAAAAAGTCTGTCAAACCGGCAGTTGACTTCTGACTTCAAACTACTATGGCCCGATATTAGTCATATTCGACCCCTTCACAGTACTCATCTTACCTTTTTATGCATTTGTGTCTGTCTGTCTCGTTTACACCTGTGTATCACTCTTCTGCTCCCCCTCTCGACTTTGCCACTTTAATGTTCCTCCTCCTCCTCACTGTGAAGCCCCGAAGTCAGCTCCAGGGCTAATGATAACTATCAAAAGCCCCGAAGTCAGCTCCGATAACTATCAAAATGCCTGCCATTTGATATAAATAAATAAATATTGCCCAACTCAAAAATATGAAATAAAAATTTCCTCAGCAATTTTGAAAATGCTATTGAGCAATAATTTCGTAATACTACTTCCTCCGATAAGTGCAAAATTTAAAATAAAATTGGCCATTACGTTAAAATTTTGAAACTTGCAAGGAGTAGAGCATGGTCTGTCTGGAAATTCAAAATGCAATTACTGGAATGGAAGGCAGCTACCCGACTGACATTGATGAATTTGAAGATTTATGGACTTTTTTCCAATGATTTTTCTGCACTTTAGATATTTTAGAACTATTCAGTGAGCTGATAACAGTCGTTTCTTCGATGATACTATAAACCACATGAACCCATCACAACCTTGAAAAGTAGGTTAATAATAATTGTGTGGGATGAACAATGTCCTAAAGCTTTTTTCAAATGACAGACGTTTGATAGTTATCAATAGCCCCTAAGCTGACTTCAGAGTGATGATAATTTGAAGTAAGAAGTCAACTGCCAGTTAATAGACTTTTTTGCCGTATGAGTATGCGTTGCCCAGGGTGCACCACGTGGCGGTAAGTCTATCGAACACCCCATGTCCCGGAAAGTGCGCGCGTGTTCCTAATCGCATATCGTCCTCCCAGACAATCAACCATTAACATTTTCCCCTCTTTATAACCCCTGCGCACTCACAATTTTGGTGAAAATTGAGCCAATTAATTGGGCAATTAATACACATAGAATTTGCTAAAGCAATTCAAGATTTAGCCAATGATTTATTTATGTACTATGCCCTCGCCACGGATATCGAAAAGAAGACAAATGAAATCGAGAGACCTTAGTAAATATACTTCCTTTTAATTCTGATTTCAGCTATTTCTAACTTTTTTACATAATGTGCACAATTCACTGCGTCAAATACTAATAATTCCAAATTGAATGTTCAGGAGTCGACCTCAAAGGTTCTGAGAATGTATATTTGTCCCAAAGTTCATGGCTTATTTGTAATTTGATAAAATTGAGTGAATGGCCATATCCATATTTGTCTCTTTAACAATCAAGAGTCATTGATTAATTGACTTGAATTGCGAAATAACCACGATACACTTCTGGCGTAATCTTTCAAAAGGCCTCAAAATGATAAACCCTTCTATTCATCAAACGAAGTGGCGGGGAGAATATCACTAGTGTCACGAAATGCCACCTAATCGGATTATCGGATGAAATAGACCTCAAATTCTGTAGAAACTATTCAGTAACAAAATGTTTTAACAAAGGAATAGTTATATGCAAGTTAAACAGCAAAAAACGTGTTAAATATGAGCTATTTTCGAGAATTCGGCATTTGATTCCATTGTTAATTCTTCAACTACTATTAGCATTGTTATTAAAATCTATTACCACCTTTAAATATTTGGAAATTCCTATTTTCGCATCAGGGGTGTGCGATAGACTTACCTCCACGTGGTGCACTCTGGGCAACGCATACTTATACGGCAAAAAAGTCTACAAACCGGCAGTTGGCTTCTAACTTCAAACTATCATCACCCCACTGTATGTCATATTTGACTATTTCCACAGTACTCACCTCACCTTTTTCTACCTTTGTGTCTGTCTCTTTTACATCTTTGAAACACTCTTCTGTTCCCCTCCTCCTATCGAATTTTTTCAATTTGATGTTCCTTCTCCTCTGTGAAGTCTGAAGTCAACTAAAGGGCTAATGATAACCATCGAGACGCCTGCCATTTGATATAATTAAATATTATTTTCGCATCAACAACTAGCTCATCCAAAATAAAGTATTTACATTTTTTTAGCTTTTCTTTTAGGAACAAAAATTAACAAAAGTAAATCAGTGAAAAGAAACACTTCATTACGTTTTGTTTTACTACACACACACACTGGAAGCTAGCACAACAATGCATACTGAAAGAAAAATCCACTCTTCTCCGTGTGGTATCGAGGGGTCGAAAAAAATTCACACTCTCGTCAACA